ACCACATACCCCGACAGCCACACATCTGTCTATCGCAACGAATGCATAAGGTATAAATGAGTCTAAACTTATTAGCCAGCTCATATGGTTCTATATGGCAACACATCCATATAATATAAATGCGACATAATTAAACAGTCCATTTATTTCCTGAAATGCACACAGCATAATATTCATGGTTTATATATCAATTAACAGTATAAACATCCTATAAGATATCATGGATAATTTATCTGATTAAAACCATGGCCTTATTTAATTTAACAGTAATGTTTGATACCATTAAATACGATAATAACACTATTTATATTTAACAATGTCGTTTAAATAATTCACATTAGTATCCGTACTGCGAACGAGCCAATAAATGCTTAGAAAAGATTAATCGGCCATAAGAATAAGTAACGGGTGTTAAAATAATAATTTCGTGGCCCGTTAAACCCGTAATTACCAACACAGTACCTAAAAATCCAAGTTTAAGGTTCTGGAATTTACAAAACAGGCCCTAGGGGTATTCTGGTAATTTCCAGCAGCTGTAGGGACCCCACACGCGCCCTCACGCGCCTCCCAGAGCCTCCCCACGCGCAGCCAAGCTTTCCCCACTCTCCCACGCGCCTCCACGCGCGTCTGGCATCAGCCACGCGCCCGCACGCGCTCCCACGCGCGTTTGGAGAGTCCCACGCGCTGCCACGCGCGCACTAGGGGTGCCTTGCTGACGCGGCGTGTGCTGGTTGGTCGGTTGCATCAGATTTCCTACGTGCGCGCCACACCGGATCAATCCACCTACATCTCCTCCATCCAACGTCCACGGATCCGGGTGTACCGCGGTATCATGGACCGCGATGCACCGGATCAATCAGACTCCACTAATGGCCAGGATGCGCGCGTACACCCTCCTATGGTGCGCCGCGTCGCACCGGATCACTCCGGTCGTCTCCCCCACTGCCGGCGACCGGAAAACTCGCCGGAAGGTCGCCGGAAATTGCAGAAAATGCTCGGAAAAATCTAGAAAATTCTAGAAAAATCCCTAAAGTCTTATTTAATTATTTTTAGCCATTATTAATTTCATAGGACATTAAATAAATATATACTATCCTATATAATTAAAATTCCATTAATTTAATAAAATAAAATTAATTATTTATTAACCTCCTAACCTTGGCTCGATGCATAAAAATAAGCTAAACAATTAATTTATTAATTCAAAGGGGAAAAGTAGATAATAACTTGCCTTTTTGGATTTAAAATAAATCCGCCGGTCTGCGCGTAGTCGGGTAAAATTGCCTACACCGGTCCAAGCTTCTTTCTCTTTCTCTTTTCCTTTCACTCTTATAAAATAGCTCTCTAGAATTTATACTTTGCTTCTAACTCCCTTTATTTTCTTCTAAGGCAAGCTAGTTAATTTATATACAAAATATATAATATAAATATTACAAATATCTTATTTATAATAACTTCTCACCCATTTCTCATACTCCTACCTATATGGCTTTAAGACAATGCTATCTTTAATCAAGATATTTGATCCACCATTCTTACCATAGTAAATGAAATTCTATCCTAGTATTTAATTTTTCATCATTACCTTGATTTAATACTAATATTATTATTACTAATATTATTATTAATAAAACTTTTATAATTATTATAATTATATTATTATTAATATTATTATTATTATTATTATTATTATTAAACTAATATAATTATTATTATTACAAAATAATACATTATATCATCATAATACTATATAACACAAATATAATACTTTACTTAACTAATAATGATTAATATAAGCATAACCAACAAATAAAATTATTAATAATAATACATGCATATTTACATGAACAAATTTACTATTTTAACATACACAATTAATTTACATGCACAATTAAATGAACCTAATATAATAATGTAGTATGCACAAATAAATAAAATTAATTAACCTAACACAAAATTAATTTAAATACATTCTTTAAAATTTCGGGGTATTACAATCCTAATACAAGATATCATCCAACTGTTGCAGTGGCTTGATATATGTATAACGAACCATCCCAGTAAACCAATTTATGTCATTCAGTTATTTACTGACCTGACACAAATAAGGATTGGACTTAACCTCTATGGTTATTCCACACCTTAATCCATTTTAGGTAGGACTTAATATCTGAACTAATCCATCCCTAGTATGCCACCGTCCCATACCGGTGCATACAGTCCTCCAATCCACATAATTGAAAAAAATAATATTTAATTAAATTATCATCAGTTCTCTAAACATGCATCTGTATGGTTTAATACAAATATAATGGCATTAGGTATTCCCTCCAGAACCTAAAAATCACGCTCTAATCATTTAAAATGCTAAAATAATCCATAGCATTCAAATCCTCCAAAAATAGTGATAAACCGATACAATTTTAGCAATTTAAGTATCAATTAAATCCAACTAAGCATAGTTAAATATAATCAATTCACCATACTTATAACACTGAATAAATATATGATTATATATAATTAAATTATATATAAAAAAAACCTTACTCGGTTCCAGTAAATAAAACTAATAAAATAGTAAGCAAATTACCCGTCTTCTTTTAGGTTCTTTTGCTCTAATCTTTAATCCAGTTATGAATTTATATTTTTCCACCATAATTCCAGCCTTATACAGTCCCACACATTATTTAAAATAATTTAACTCAAGTGCATAAACCTAGAAAACCAAACAGTCCTTAAAAAACCACGTTACAGTGTTTTCAAAAGAGAGCAGGCTCTTAAAATGGGAGCCTGCTCCATTTTTCTACCTAGAGCCGGCTCTAGGCTCTTAGAGCTAGCTCCAAGACACCAAGAGCCGGCTCTCCCCTTTGGGAGCCGGCTCTAAGAAGGTTGGGAGCCTTCTCTCCCTCCTCTTAGCAGCCTCGTCCATTCTAGCTTCGTTTTCTTCAACTCCAGTGATTTACAGAACCTCTGTAATGTGTTCTAAATCTTATTCTAGGTTCAATCTTAGTCCTAAATAAATTTTAGACCACTGATATCCAATTAAAACATGTATGGAACACAAGTTTTAAAGCAACGATTTCTGAAATTTAGTTAGTAGTTTAAAGCAACTCAAAACAGATTTATTCCATGAAATTTAAATACTGTTTTAAATACCTGTTCTAGGATTTAATCTTAGACCCAGATCAATTACAAGGCATCCATTCGCATTACTAACCTCCATTAAACAAAACTTAAACGTGAACAACAAGAGGAACAAATAACAGAATATCACAGATTCATGCAAACCAGTTAATTCCACGAGATTAAATAAAATTCATATATGTATAAAAGACTTGTTATAATGTTTGTTTAAATCCGTTTTAGTCTTTATTAAATCCCTGGAGTCTAACTAGGCATGCACAGAACACGAATTAACGGGAAAGAGAAGAATCAGAGACTTGCCTTTGAGACTTTGAAATAAAAATCTCTAACTGTTGCCTCTATTTTCTCCGGCCACGTTCGTTGTGTTATACCACCTTTGCTGCTCCTATTACAGTCCAGTAACACACACCAAACTTCCATCCTTGATTCTGTTTTGTGAACCACCCAAATTCCACTCCGGTTCTCTCTCTGTTTGCCCTCTATATCTCACAGTCTCTGTTTTTCCTTACAGAGCATACGTTTATTTTCTCTAAACCCTAAACCATCGTATTGTATATATTTATAGATGTAAATTAACAATAACCCTAATCCATGTACAATTAGAGACTAAGCCCTAATTCCAATTCTAACCGGCCCATAAAACTATCTCAGTTCTAACCTACGGCGGCTCACCTATACGTGAATTATAAACCAAAGTTATAACTGTAACACTAAGTTGCCATAAAGAAAATAAATAAACATTACATTATTAACTAAATAAAATAATTAAATAAATATAATAATTAGACAGGTAATTAATCCACGTTACATATTATTTAGCACTTAATTTAATTTACATAACCAATTAAAACCAATTAATTTAAATAATCAATTAAAACCAATAAGTCAATTTAATATAAAAAATACAATGCAATAAATCAAATAAACCAATAATTCAAATAAGTAATTAAATCCAATTAAGCAATTAATTCAATTTAATCACCACAATAAAATAATTTAACAATTAATCAAATAAAAATATAATTAAATCAAAAATTAAATACCAAAAATATTCTTTAAAATTGGGGGTATTACAATAAGAAATAACCTAACTAATAAGAAATTCACTCTTGACATGGATTTATGTTGCTGTTATTATCTAACAATAATCTAATCCAATCTTATTGTTCATTTTTAACCATCACTCGTTAGATGGTGTGGGTCACAACAGAGTCTATTTTGTCGAAGTTGGTGATGGTTACAGTCATAATTATTGTTGATTAGCATTTATCAAAGATAATGGTGCACAAGCTCTCAATCAAGAAAAGACACTGCTCATTGTTTGTCCCACACTGATAAGAAGTTGGAATAATTTAACCAAAACTTTTTGGGCATTGGTTGAGAGTGGAGACCATTGTCATGTGCTTTGATCATGTCCTTCACTCCAGTCCAACACAATTCATTAGTTTTAATTGTGACACTTTAACCACTTTTTTGTTCCAATTAGTATCAAAAGTCTTAATTATGATGGTTACAGTCATAACTATTGCTGGTTGTGGTTCTTTTTCTTTTATCCAAAGTCTTCATCATCCCATTTTCAATCTATGGCCAGTTATTTATCGGGGAAAAAAAAAAAATCTATGGCCAGAAAGGACCAAATATATGTGCATAAAACAATTTATTGTATGCAAACATGTATAAAGTATTGCCAATATCAACCCCACTTGCTCCTCTCAGAGAAATGAAATGACCCTCTGAAAAGGAGACGATAACATCAACGCCTCACATCCACTTCTTATGGATGAGTATAATGGTTTGATGAAATATGTTGAAAACGATACACTTTGTTATATACCACGTTTTCAAGATATGAAAACTCAGGACAATTGTAAATATACTTTATAAAATTATCAATGAATATTAAAGTTTTATTTATTTATTTATTATGATAGCTTGAAAAAAAAAAAAAAAATTCTTCTTGTTTAAGGCCACCCCCTCAAATATCAAATTCCAACTCACTGACAAAGACAAACTCATTGTTTTTATGAAGTTTATATAGAGAGAAGAGAGAGTGAGCTTTGTGTGAGCAAAAAAAATACAGAGAAGATGCAGAAGGCTTGGTTTTATGAGAAGTATGGTCCTAAGGAAGTCCTCAAGTTAGGAGACTACTTGTTTCCTACTCCCCAACCGACCCAACTACTCGTGCAAGTTAGAGCTGCTGCTTTGAATCCTATTGATTCGAAGATGCGCCAGAAGCCCGATGTTCGTCTGGATTTACCTGTGAGTTGTGGTTATGAACACAACAGAAATAGTGTGTGTGTGTGTGTGTGTGTGTGTGTGAGTGAGTGCTTGTGCATGTCAAAGACGTTCTATCATATTTTGCACTGACTTGCTACAATCACTTGGTTATTTTTACTCATTGACTGATATAATTGATGAATTAAGGTGCGTGCAACGAATTTGACAATTTGGGGATTAAATTAAGAATATGATTGAATCAAATGATCACTTGTTATTATGTGAATCAATTTAATTTGGAATTTAAAAGATCAGAAAAAAAAAATAATAAATAAATAAAAATAAATAAATAAATAAAAATTACTGTGTTCTGAATATGGTAGGGAAGCCTGCCAAGGGACTAAGTTTGAGTCAGAGGTCACACTGTCTTCCTTGAATTGATTAGCACTAACTGTTGTAATTGATAATCATCAGCAGCTAGTGTTTAATTGTTTTTCTTTTCAGAGTGAAAAAATTGCAAGTGTTCTATCAAGAACTCGCATACAATTTATTGAATTTCTGATATATTTGGATACTTTTTTTCACAATAGTAATAAACAACACCATCAACATGTTGTTACAGGTGGTCCCTGGCTGTGATATGGCTGGAATTGTGGTAGCAAAAGGCAGTGGCACTGAAAATTTTGACATAGGTGATGAGGTGTATGGCAACATCCAAAATTTCAACGCGGATGGGAAATTAAAGCAGCTCGGGACACTAGCAGAGTTCATCGTAGTGGAGGAGAATTTGGTGGCAGCGAAGCCAAAAAACCTTTCGTTTGAGGAGGCTGCAAGCTTGCCTTTAGCAGTTCAAACAGCAAGGGAAGGTTTCAAGACTGCAAGTTTCAAAGAGGGGCAGACAGTTTTCATTGTTGGTGGAGCCGGTGGTGTTGGAACTTTGGCTGTTCAGCTGGCCAAGCAATTCTATGGAGCTTCTCAGGTTGTGGCAACAACTAGCACCCCAAAGGTGCAGTTTGTCAAGAGCTTGGGTGCTGATAAAGTTGTTGACTACACAAAGACTAGATATGTAGAAGTAGAGGAGAAATATGATTTCCTCTATGATACAATTGGTAATCTTCTACTCTGACTATGTTTATCAGTTTCATCCTAGGTAAATGCTTCATAGTAAAGTGAGTTGCTGTTAAAATATTTGTTCGTCACAAAAAGGCCACTAACATACAAAGAATCACATTACAACTACTCCGATGAGCATAATTTTCTATTTTTTTTAGATTTATTTATCAGATTGAATTTTCATCTTCAGGTGATTCCATGAATTCCTACGTCGTGGCTAAGGATGATGCGCGGATCATTGACATAACATGGCCTCCATCAAACCCTAGAGCAGTTTATTCAGGCTTGACAGTTTCCGGGGATACCTTAGAGGAGCTTAGGCCATATTTGGAGAGTGGAAAACTCAAGGCAGTGATTGACCCTACCGGTCCATACCATTTTTGTGATGCCATTGAAGCTTTTCGACATCTAGAAACCGGAAGAGCCAGAGGAAAGGTTGTCATCTCTCACTTCCCTTCACAGCAGCCTCTTTGCCCTGTTTCCTGCAATATCAAGAATGATGTAACACCTAGTTTGGTTCCCCAGAAATGTCCATTTACCAAGTTATGTACTGAAAATGTGTAAAATATGAGTTTAGAACCTAGCCTTTATGTAAATGTAGTTAAAATGTGTAAAATATGAGCTTAGAACTCAGCCTTTTGTAAAATATATTACACAAGTTACTGTAATTATCTAATATATTGTATTACAGCTACATGATCTATCAAAAGGTTTATGGTATTCAAGGTTCATATTTTGGTTAAGAGAGTCTAATGTGGAACATATTTGGATGAAACATTGTATGAAAAAGAGAATCAATGTGCAAAAGAGAAGAGTCTGCTTGTGTGGTTATCTTATAAACAATAGCGGTGGAAAATCATGGATCAGAAATATTGAATTTGTTTCTTTGTATTTCTATGTAGTAGATTGAGACAAATAGTGATTTAAGCATAATTTAACATATTATATTGTGGAATTTAAACTCTAGTTACTGATTTTTAAGTCATTGTGTATCATTTTAGAATTATTTATGCAAAAAATTAAAATATTTAAAAAAAAATGCATCACCTGCATTTTGTAAAGATGTTTTTGAGACATTTAGACTTGGTTTACCCGTTCTCTTTGAGAAAACCAGAACTGATGACCTTTGTTTTGTTTCTCTTTTGATCTCCAAATTGGTTCTTCAGGTTCAAGTGGTACCCCTTTTTTTAGCACTACTCATTTAGTACAAGAATTGTAAGCACAGTCGCGATTAGGGATGGCAATGGGGCCAGTTTGGGGAGGGGCTGTGATACCCCTCGGATCCGAGACACGGGTTGATCAGGCCCAGGCCCAAACCCGAGGGAGTATCAAACAATTGATATGTTATAGCGAACATGGAATACAAAATGAATTACGAAATGAAAGTTTAAAGCTGAAAAGAAACTAAAAGATACTCCTTAAATAATTAAATACTTAAAGTTGATAAACCAAATATCCATAATTTGAACAGCTCGGGAATCCATCTCTAGTGGACCCCTAATAAAAATCTCACATTAAATGAAAGTAAAAAGAAAGATAAAACCCAAATCCAAGATCTGGAAAGAAATCCTACATCGTCGGTAGAATGGAAGATCGTCTCTGCACAGCACGAACAAGCTCAAGCCTGGAACTGACGTACACCTGAAAAATAGGAGTGGGTCAGGCCCACGAACAAGTTCTATCCTACTACAATCCAAGCAGAGACTCGATACGCATGTACATTCTAACCAATTCAACAATAGCTAATAGTCCATACATATGTATAATCACACTACAGGACTCTCACTGGACTATGGAGAAGGTCTCAACCTGAATAGAAGGTAACATGCGAAAACGCACCCATAGGTGGGCATGAGTACCTAGACCTAACAGGGTACACCACAACCTCCCATATCCAGCTACGCATCCTACTGCATATACGCTCCCTAACCGACGACTTAGAGACTCAAGCTCATATCGCGATACCATAAAAATATATATAAAGTCCGATCCTAACTATCCATCCAGAATCCAGTTAGTCATTCAGCTTGTGCAGCTTCTTTGACTTAACTTAAATAACAAGTAATCTAGTTAGTCATTCAGCTTGTGCAGCTTCTTTAACTTGAGCATAAGTAGGATTTATTTTGAAATCCATTCCTTTATTCCATGTAGGTAGGATGTAGTATTTTTAAACTAATCCGTCCCTAGTATGTCACCGTCCCATACCGGTGCATACAATCCATCCATCCAGTAGTTGGCAATACAAGTATATATGTAAATACCAACTAATCCATAAATTCCACAATTGATAATAATATATTACATATAGGCATCAATTGTTCCACAATAACTGGCAAAATTTAAATAACTGTTTACATTAATTAATTCCATACAAGGCATAATATAACTTTGTAAACTAAAATGCTTGTCTTATACCACCGTTGCATGATTCTCTCATAATTTATTGCATAGAGAATAAGTATAGACATCCTTTAATCCGTGCTAATCATAATAAAAATATATATTTGGACATGCTTAGTTTATACCGCTACATAATTATCCAAGAATTGATATTATATATAATACATGTATAAATCAATTTATCCTCTATAAGCATATAATAATTCTGTAATCTGACATGCTTATATTTCCCCACTGGAACATGATTTAAATCTATAAAATCATTCTCGACAAAATTGCTAAAACCATGTTGAACAATTTTGTACCTTCACATTTAAACAGTATACTAACTTGTGCAAGAATTCTATAATGTTCAAACTATAATACAAGGTGATTAATTATGCATTAACAAGGCTCTTGGGAGATTTAATTTGCTCTTAGACACCTATGAAAACCTCCATTAAGGCTTTGAATTAAACTGGAACCGTTAAAATCCAAGTACCTAAGCAAAACTCTCGCTGAAACTTTAAAAAAATGGAAAAACCACATTGGAGCCGGCTCCAAAAATAAGTGGAGCCGCCTCCACCCTATTGGAGCCGCCTCCAATAACATATGGAGCCGGCTCCACTTCAATGGAGCCGCCTCCATTGAAGGGTGGAGCCGCCTCCACTCCTCCCAGCCTCCGTCTTCTCCGACGCCGGTTATTTTCTGACATTTTGCTCGTCTGCCCTCTATTCTTAAAGCTCCTAGGTGTCTAATACTAGGTCTAGTGTGTTCCAGAATTAGTTAAACTCTTAATTCATCAACCAACATCAATTAGACTACAACTTATGCAAGAAGGACCTAAACTGGAACAACTACTCACTCATGACCATACTGTTTCAAGTGATCACCCATGTGAACCAGATTAAGTTTAATATTTTCCCAAGGTGTTCCAGCGTTGATTAAATCCTTAATTATTTAATTAAAATCAATTAAAACATAGAGTAAAACATGGGTTTCACAAGAAAGAGTTCAAAGTAAACAATAACCAACTTATCAACACATTTAGGTTTAGCTATTTCAGACATGCAAACCCAGTTTAATTTTAAACCTTTATATATCCCTGGAATTGTATTAGAGATGCAAAGAACACGAGCCTAAGGGAGAGAGTTAGGATTAGAACTTGCCTTTGAGATTTCGGTTAAAAATCCCAACGTCGTCTTCGTAAATTTCTCCGGCAAACGGCCGTAATCCTCCTATGTTCCTTCTCTGCCTCCACTGTCGTGAATAGGGTTTCCTAAAAACCCTAGGCAGAACTTAATACGTATATTTATAAGTTTATATAAAACCTAAATTCAATCCAAACCCTACAGTGAACCTAGCTGGCCCATAGAAAATCCTAATTAAATCTACGTCGGCTACCAAGACTTGACTTCTAAAACAAAACCCTAAAGTAAACGTTAACTAAACCCTAATGTAAATCAATTAAGCATTTAAAAGAATTAAAATACAAAAATACAATTAACTAATCAATTAAATAAATTAAAACACCATAATTCAAACAAGTCACAATTAAGTCAAATCCTTAAAAAGTCAATTAAACATAATTCAAAAACAAGTAATGAACAGATAATGAACAGAAAACAATTAATTAACAGAAAGCGATTAATGAACAGATAATGAACAGAAAACAATTAATTAACAGAAAACGATTAAACAAAATACCGAGACTATCCTTTTGAAAATTAGGGGTATTACATTCTTCCCCCCTAACAAAAGGAATTCCGTCCTCGGAATTCGCTCTTACCAATAGTCTTCTGGAAACTATTGTTATAAGCAAACTCCACAAGTGGCAAATATTCCTCCCAGTGGCCCTTGAAATCCAGAACACACGACCGAAGCATATCTTCCATAATCTGATTCACCCTCTCAGTCTGTCCGTCAGTCTGAGGATGATAAGCAGTACTAAGGTGTAACTCCGTACCTAAAGCCTGCTGAAAACTCTTCCAAAATCCAGATACAAAGCTCGAATCCCTATCCGATATAATAGACAATGGAATGCCATGTAGCTTCACAATCTCTGAAATGTAAAGCCTCGCCAACTGCTCCGAAGTGTAGTCAGTGCAAATAGGCAAGAAATGAGCTGACTTGGTCAACCTATCCACAATGACCCATATGGAATTATGCCCCTTGAAAGAATTTGGCAACCCTTCCACAAAATCCATAGATATACTCTCCCATTTCCACTCTGGAATTGGTAGTGACTGTAGAGCTCCTGGCGGCCTCTGATGATCAATCTTAACCATCTGACAAGTACTACACTGAGAAACAAAAAGAGCAATATCCCTCTTCATACCTGCCCACCAAAACTGTCGTTTCATATCTTGATACATCTTATCGCCTCCCGGATGAACAGAGAACTCAGAGTGATGAGTCTCAATCATCACATCCTTCCTCAAATTATCAGCAGAAGGTACCACTAGCCGTCCCTTGTACCTTAAACCTCCATCAGCCCCAACATAGTAGAATGGAACCTCTCCGGAAGCTATCTCTGTGATCTTGTCGACACACTGCTGATCAGTGAGTTGTGCCTGTAAAACCTTGCGAATGATGGAAGGTGTAACCACCATGCAAGCCATAAAAGCATCTGACAACTCATCTACATTCTTCATAGCATTCCACTCAGTAGTGAATAGGGTAGAAAGACCACCAATAGGTCGGCGACTGAGTGCATCCGCCACTACATTCGCTTTCCCTGGATGGTATTGTATAGAGAAATGATAGTCTTTTACAAACTCCAACCATCTGCGCTGTCTCATATTCAGCTCCCGCTGAGTGAACAAGTACTGCAGACTCTTGTGATCACTGAATAATCTGAAAGACTCACCCAACAGATAATGCCTCCAAATACGCAAGGCAAAGACCACTGCTGCCAATTCCAAATCATGTGTCGGATAATTAAGCTCATGAGGCTTAAGTTTCCGAGATCCATAAGAAATCGGTCGCTCCTCCTGCATCAATACACATCCAAGACCCTGCAACGATGCATCCGTGTAAACAAGGTACTCTATCCCGCTCCGCGGAGTAGCCAGAACCGGTGCAGAAGTCAGCTTCCTTTTCAGCTCATCAAAAGCTCGCTGACAGTGTTCATCCCACACGAACTGTACACCCTTCTTGGTCAGATGAGTGAGTGGTCCTGCTATCTTGGAGAACCCCTGGATGAATCTCCTGTAATATCCTGCCAGACCGAGAAAACTCCGAATCTCTGTAGGTGATGTAGGCTGTCCCCACTCAACCACTGCCGAAATCTTGGCCGGATCCACTGCGATCCCCTTTTCTGACACCACGTGACCCAGAAATTTCACCTCCCGCTGCCAAAATT